TTGTTCTTTTTTCAGTACAATTTTTATAAAATTTCTCTTTCTAAAGAATTCGGTTATTTTAAAACAATTTAAATAAAATTTTTGGAAGAATTCAATTATACACTGAAAAAAATTCTTAGTAGATTTGACTACTTTTAACTACTTTCCTTAGTTCAATAAGTCCCCAAAGATAATTTTGAACTTACATTAATTATCAGATATGTAGTTGAATGAAGTGATAATACAGTTGCATTAACTACTTTTCTTAGTTAAATAGGAACCAATGACAGTTTTGCAGTAGAATTAACTGCTGATATGTAGTTAAAGTTACTAAGATAACTCAGTAATAAAGTAACTACTGAAAATGGTAAAATAAAATTATTTATAATTTATTATAAATATTATCGAGTTGTATTTTTTTATATTTCCCCCTACCCACTTTTGTTTACCTATACCTTATTTATTTAATGTCTATATACCTAACGGAGAAAAATCTCTAAACGTCGGGAGTTGAACGCTCGACCCTAACATTCGTAAGCCGATAACCTAACCACCTAACCACGCTCGCCCGCTTCGATGAGTTGCTTAATACTTATAGGCATTCCAGACACAGTTCAACTGATAACTGTAGTTAATTTTACTACTTAAAGTAGTTGCATTTACAACTTTTCACAGTTGATAATCTTCTATAAAAATCTATACCGTCAACCGGGGCTATTTTGTGCACCAAATAGCTTTTTTTTTATTCAAAGATTTATTTAAATTCAGAATTAAGAGAATAAAGAAAATCAACTTTTGATATATGTTGTGGACATCCTTCTGAAGGTTTCCTATAAATTTTGCAAAGAAAAAAATTTTTTTGTCTTAGTTATAGTCATTGAAAGTCGTGAACACAATAACTCCCGGGATGGGGCTATTTTGTGCATCGAACTTTGTTTTTCTATAATGTTGCGTAAACAATTTTTTTAATCGTTTCTGCTTCATGAAATCTTTTGTGTATATATTTGAGAGTAAATTAAAAAAAGAATGACCTAGTAAAATTTTTTTTGTAGATATATTATACAAAAAATGTAAAATAAAGCACTAAAATTTTGCTAAAATCTGGATTTACTAAAAATTAACAATCTTTCTTTAAATTGTATATTACGCAGATAGTAAATAAAATTTTTTTCTTTTTTAATATATATTTTATAATAATATACTAATATAATTATAAAATGATCGTTTAAACACTTATAAAAAACTTTAAAACATCATTTCAATAGGAGCTTTTTTAATGGTTTTGAATGATATTTTTAAAAAACTTGAAATAAATATTTTTAAGGTTAAATAGATAACAATTTAATATCTAATATGATTTTCAAGTTATTTTAAGAGAAACGAGAAAATAGTTTTAAAACTAATTTGAAAAACTTATAAATATTAATTAATGTTCATTTTTTGAGGTTACGTTGTGCACCGGTAGAGCTTTTAATCATTTTAATGATTTTAATTAACGTATTTACAGTTTTTTGACAGAAAAGTAAGACAAAAATGTATAAAAATGATAAACAGAATCTTCTTTACTTACTAAATAAAATATTTATGAAAAATATTTGATTTTTTTAAGTGCACAAAATAGCCCCATGGAATCCTAGTTTTTCAGTTTTTTCCACTTTTCTCTTAAAATAATGAATAAAAAGTTAGCGCATTACGTATGTATCATCACAACACAATTGAAAACAAATGTCTAACACAGTTTATGAGACACATTAAAACTCTAGAAGATCTGGTATAATTTTTCCGAAGTTTCAAAATTTTTTAAACAAATTTTTCGTTTTGAGGAATTTTTTTCTCTTAATTGCCAAAGAATTAAATAATAACATTTAGTGCTCTCTATTGTCATGTAATCAAACTTTCATTTTACAAAATAGCAGATTAAAATAATTCATTTTAATAATTTTTTTCATTAAAAAACTCGCGTGCACAAAATAGCCCCCGGATGCACAAAATAGCCCCAGTTGACGGTAACATAAATTACATGGAAAATAATTCAACTCCTAGAAGAAGTAAAAACTACTACAAAATTAGTCTATCGAACTACTTTAAGTAGTAGAATCTACTGCTTTCTGTAGTCATTTCTATAACATACCTGCAGTTACAAAGTTAACTGTAAAATTACATTAATTTAATTAATAATTTTTAAGTACATAAAACAGTTAAAATAAGTATCAAAAGTAGCCAGACTAACTAAAAAAGTAGTTCGTTTTATTACTTTTTACTCTACTAAGGGGATGTAGTTGAAAATGTCTCATGTATTTTTTTCAGTGTAAACAAAAACTTTTAATAAAATTCATTAATCAAATTACAATTATTTTTAATATTTACAATTAAATTTATTTAAAAAACTACTTTATTTTCAAAAACCTTAAAGAAATTCTTCAAAAGAATGTATTTACTTTCGAAAAGTTTAATAAAATTTTTCAAAAGAATTTAGTTTTCTACCAAAAATTTAATAAAATTATTCATTACAAATTACAAGTATTAAAAAAATTCATTATACTAAACAAATTAAAGAAATTCTTTGAAAGAATTCAATTATTTTCAATATTTTATAAAAATTCCTCGAATGAATTCAATTATTAAAAAAAAATTGTAATAAAATTCAATGATCAAATGTTTAATAACAATTATTAACAATAAACACAATTGATTTAAAGACTTGAAAGAAATTTTTCATAAAATTCAATTATTTCAAAAATAAATTTTCAATTAAAATCATTAAAAAGAACTCCCATTATTTTAAAAAAAATTCAAAGATATTCTTCAAAACAATTAAATTATTTTCACAAATAATAAAATTTTCTGCGAGAATTCAATTACTTTCAATACAATTTTAATAAAAGTCTTCGGAGAAATTTTAATTATTTACAAAAATTTAAATAAAATTCTTCGAAAAATTTCAGTTTTTCGCTAAACTTCTTCTTAAGAATTCAATGATTTTTAAAACCTATACATTAATTTTAAAATTCAAAACATTAAAAAAGAAAAATTATTGAAAAAGTGAGTAAACAAAAAAGCAATTTATTGAAAATAAATATATTTTTGAAAATATTTTAAATGCCTTAAATCGGAGATTAGAAGTTTAATTTAATTTTGCGCCTAAAATTCTGTTTTATCGACTCAGTTATGCGGGTATAGTTTTTCAAAATTCGTCCAACTACTTTATCGACATGAAGTTTAATACCAAAACGTATTTGATCAGCCGATAATTCAGAAATCTAACTGAAAATTTTTTGCCCAAATTTTGAAAAAAATAGTAAAGGCACTTAAATTACAGGTTACATAATACAATTACATTCGAATCTTGACAATTTAACTTATAGTTTTCAAGAAAAGAAGTAGAATAGTTTGATCTAAAAAAATTTGGCCTTAACAGCATGTGACTGTTACAGAAATCAATGTTAATTTTTTCGACCACTTTTCTCTTAAAATATTAAATAAATTAAGCTAGTTTTTTGTGAATAACTCTAAAATATAATAAAGAAGAGCAGTGATGTGCAAAAGTTTTAATAATTATAAAATAAATTATAAAAAAAATACTTTGAAATCGGAAAAGACAAAAAAAAAAATAAATAAAAATAAACAGTAAATTTCCTTTTTTCCTGAACGAACAATAAAGAAAAAACTTTACCGACATGACGTTTAATACCAAAACGTATTTAATCAGTCGATAATTCAGAAATCTAACTGAAAATTTTTTGCCCAAATTTTGAAAAAAATAGTAAAGGCACTTAAATTGTAGGTTATATAATACAATTACACTCGAACCTTAACAATATTTCTTACAGTTTTTCAAGAAAAAAAGTAGGATAGTTCGATCTAAAAAATTTGGCCTTAATACACTACAATTCTTAAATAAATCAAACAGTAAATTCCCTTTTTTCCTGAACGAACAAAAAAAAAAAATGAGTAAGGAAGGAGTCAGTAAAGTAAAAATTCACATACCTGAATAGAAATCTCGAAATAAGTTTTACCATCCAGAGAAAAAGAATATGACAATTGTAATTTAGAGAATATTCAAGATTCCCCCTATTTCAATAAGATTTCGTTAAATCTACGAAAATCAAATATCCTTGATGCTTTTCTGGGGCATCATTTGAAGCATTTCATCCCTCAATTGTGGGAAGAGAGAGAGAGAAGGGGGGGGGGGTCCATATATATGTAATGGAATAACGTCAATGAGGCGAGGCACCCGATGGTATACAATGTGGGTATCGTAAGCTGCATCGACGAAACTGCACTGTGTGTATGGAATATTGGGATTCGACAGGCGTATCCCTGATAAAGCGTCGAGTGGAATATTCAATCAAGCAGCAGGTATGGAGCAGCATCGTCGAACGGCGCGACGGCAAGACGTTTTCGTCGAGTGTATATAGATATATACACACAAACGTAAAGGCTATGATGCTATGTGAATATGATGGTGTATATAGAGAGAGGTAGAGAAAGGGGAAGTACCGCGTGGTGAGTGTTGGTAATGTGTATACGGAGTAAAGCCTGTTGATCGTTGGCCCATGCTTCTTTGGTATTCAACTCGCTGCCAAGGAACGTCACAACCACACCACACTAAACCGAGCGGAAGCGATTTTACCAGTTCCCTATATACATACATACAGTGTCTATAGTTTGATCCCGGGCAAACAGAGGCTACCCTAGGGTTACTTGTGAAATTCATGATGGCTACCCAAACCCTGCCATTGTGACCATGTGAAACAAATTTAATACCCAGCTCAACTCCGTAACAATCGCGAATCTCGACATTTCGGAACTAGGTCTGTTAAAAAATTCACCGATTCTTTGGAGGGTGGTCTATTAAGCTCTCCGAAGGAAGCTCACTTTCTATTCAAGTATCGAAATTGCTTTCTATTTTCTCAAGGAGTGAGCTTTGTGGTTCATATTGTGCGCCATTCAGTTCGTGCTAATATTTTTTGACACTATTTCTAAATATATTACTAGAAATAAAGATTATCATCACTCACCCGAACATCCTTGGTGAACTGGTTATTGCTGTAAATGTGAACGGCCGAAAATTCCCTGACGTTGTCGAATTCGAACTTGATCTCAATTGGCTGTCCATTGCGAGTGTCGTTCTTCCAGCCTACCCATCCTTGTCCACGATCGTAATCGTAGTAGCCCATTTTGAAATTATCCGAACCTCTCCTACCGTCGATCAATTGACCTAAGCCTCGTCGTAATTCACCGTCCCAATGACCGTCATAAGTCGCGTCAAAGAACTCCCAGTCATTGCCCCGCTTATCACCCTGAGGCATCGAGTACGAGACCACACCATCTAGAAATGATTAAGGAGTTTGATAATCTTTATATTACAACAAGTTGTAACCTGTCTTATCTGATTTCCACTCTTTCAAATTCAATACCTATCTCATTTGCATATTACTTCGGTAATTAAAATTCATTTAATTCATTCAATTTTTCCTTTTTGTTTATCGGGAGACAGAGAAAAAATTCTTCTCTCTCGATAAATAAAAGAAAAATCGTACTTTAATGACGAATTTGTTTTTAATTTCTTAAATTGCAACTTTAACAAATTAAGGTATAATAATTTATTTATAATAATTTTGCTATGATAACAGTTACCATAGCCATCACCTTGTTGAAAATGTTAGTCAAGGGAAGGGGAACCCAGGGTTGGGTTACTACAGTTGAATCAGTGACTGATTCTTAACTATCATAATTATTTTAAACTAATTCAAATTTAGAGAACAGTATAAATATCTATATAAATTGAAACAACTTCCTGGCATGCAGATTTTTATAGTTAGCTCACACTGTTGCAAATTGTGACAAATGGCCGCATTGGGGAATTTGGCATACTACCAATATTGCTACCGCTTAATTGGAACATTAATAATAATTATCCAAATTTATAGCTCTAGTGTATTTCTTTTCGAAAAGTATTGCAAAAAAAGGGTTATATCATTGATTATAATCTTACCGCTCCAGTAGCATCCGTAAAGTTCAACTCTCATGCAGACGGTTCGTCGATGGTAACTGTACGGCATAAAGCGAACTTTACTAGCCCAGATCGGTGGTTCGAGTTCGGTTTTTGACTCCAGGTAGGTGTTCGTATTGCCCTTGATTACCTGAAAAAGAGAAAAAAATTTCGTTACTTTCTAGGTTAAATTTTAGATTTCTTCTTCTTCTTCATCTTCTAAATTTTAGATTTAAAATGTGATGACGTTGTGGACAATAAAATTATTGTCCAAAACGCGATGAATCGAAACGCATGGATTTCGATTCTTAAGGTTGAGTCTACAATGGAAAGTTTTGGTTAAGTCGACATAGTTAATTTCAAGGCATTTAAGGCCGAGTCCACAATGTAAACTTTTGGTTAATTCCAAGGCATTGACTACGATTCCAGTAACGATTTCATTTTGTAACTTTGTAAGGAGATTTTTAGGTTAAGTCGATGCGTCAAGCATCGACTTAACCTAAAAATCTCCGCTTTAGACACAGTGTTTTTAATTTCAAACTCAGATATTAAATAAAAATTATTTTCAGTGAAAATATTCCAAAACATTAATTTTTTTTGAATTCCCATTTAAAAAATCAGATTATTTCTTTCAAAACGAATTCTCCTAAAGATAAAAACACTGCATATGCATTTGCAGGAAGTAATTTTCAGCAAGAGGTCAAAAATCTTTATTATGCGCTATATAAGAAGAGGCGAGAATGGGAAATGAAAATAGGAAGATATTACTTTTGATTACCCATTAGTTGCTAAGTGCACAAAATAGTGGAGAATTACGTCTCGTTTTCAACCCTCGCACCTCTCTTTGGGTTTTCTTTAAATACAAACATAAATGTCATTAATATATATGTGTCTGCCTCTCTGCCTCTGTGTGTAAGTAAACTGAGAAGAAACCAACTCTGACGTAATTTTCAACTATATAGACGATGTGGTGGCAATGAAAATATGTTTGTGTCAGTGAAACTGTGCTGCGTTAATAGGGAATAATTACTCTGGCTCGACTTAACTGGTACCTCGTCCAAGGAAAATGTCTGTGATTTCACGTCGAGAGCACCTGACGTTTTAACGAGCAACCGTCTTACCACTATACGGTCATCCCATTTCGAAGAATGAGCAGAAGAAGAAGAAGATGAAGAAGAAGAGCTTCACAAGAAGCTTCACTGGATGATTATCTTCAATGCCCCTTCTATTTGCCTCCGTCATTGTTGACTATCGTAAATAATGATTTATCATCAACTTAAACTTTTTTTTGAATAGTTTTTTCTTTTATTGTAAATGTTTTCTTCTTATTGCGTGAACTTCTTTTCTTATTGTACTTTAAATATTGTTATAATAGAATAAAACACACTTGGAAAGGTTGACAGAAAGATTCTCTTTTCTTATTAACATAATTAACCTTATCCTTAACCTTCACTCTGAGTTCGAAAAGAACTTTTTTACTCACTAGTTAAAAAAGTATTGCTTTCCCCCCTAGAGTATAAATTTTCCACTAATATCTATTTTACTTCCTAGAGTTAAAAATTTTATGAAAGTTATTATAAAAATGGCAAAAGTTGTAAACGTTATAAAAGTTGCAAAAATTACAAAAGTTGTAAAAGTTATAAAATTTATAAAAATCATAAAAGTTACAAAATGTTACAAAACGTTTCCAAGAATAAAAAAAAACACTTTTTCCCCCTAGAGTAAAAATAAATACATCACAAACGGTACACATCACCATTCGTTACGCATATTGCAAGTGAAAATAGGAATTTTGCTTTTGGAATTTATATACGATGAATTCGAAGAAATCTCACATTTCATCTCGCGACTAAACCGTCGATGAAGCCGCGCACGATTTCCCGTCCCGTATAGCTGCTAATGAGAACCGTGCTTTTACTGTGCGCGCGTTTTTCGTGACACTATTTATTATTTAAGACAGAGACCGAAAAAGTTTCTGCACAGTACTCCAACTCTGGCCTTAATTACCAGCAGGCGGTCTCTTTTGAGGCGGACCAACACCGGGTACTCTTTCTCGGCCTTTGCTCCCTCGTCTTTATTTATATATAATATATATATATATACTTTCACTCGTTTCTTCCATTATAATCATTATTATTATTGTAACATGATTGTTACATTCTTTTTGCTCCTAGTTTTTAAAATCGTTTGTTATCAATTAATTTTGTGTTACCTTAAATTATATTTATTAGGTAATTGTTAATTAATAATATAATATTATTAATATTTTATAGATGATTTTTTCTTATTTAATTATTTAATTTAAATAAAATGAAATAAAAACTTTGAGCAATAATTAAAAATTCCTCTTTGCATAAATGTTAAATTTTCGAAATCGAAAGCAACTGAAATAAAATACGAAAAATTAATATTTTTTTATTTGGATATTATTTCAATATAAGTGTAATTTTAAATTATATGCATCAGTGATGCGTATATACTTTTGGAAAAAGAAGAAAAAATTACACGCATCTGTTTTGAGGTTGGTGTGTATATAGTATATATACGAAAATGTAGCGGACATAGAAGAAAGCGCCTGCCGCTAAATGCATTCCCTGTCGCAATAAATTTGTTTTTAGTGCTTGCTGCGATAGGCAAAAAAGGTCACGAGCTTGAATTATAGACACTTCAAATTCACGTATTTCGCACTCGCGCCAAACTTGTGCAGAGTCGCCGAAAATTTTTGCGTTTAAGTGTGTTTTAGCTGCGCCTTTAAATATTCACAAAATTGTTATAGATACTTCCGCTTTCTTTGTGCTCAAATGTCTACTTAATCATACCAACAAGAAAAAAAATGCCTTTCAAGATTTTGCCCTCGCTCATAATTTTCAAATTATTTTTATTTTATGTGAAAGGCGCGTTCAATTTTTCTCAAATCAATTCCGAAACGTTTCTATTAGGAAACTTTGTGAATATTATTATTATTATCATCATCATCATCGAAATTCATTCAATAATTCTCCTAAGTTAAAACTGTTAAAACTCAGGGAGTAAAATAGCACTTTTTTACACTAGGGCGCAAAAATCCTTTCCCTAGTGAGTAAAACATCTTTTTTTGGACTCTAGGTTAATTTAACCACCCTTTTGTTTTCAAAAATAAAAAAAAAGAGTTCCTTATCCAATTAGGGAATAAAATAACTCCTTTACACTCCAGTTAGAATAAAAACCCTTTTTTTCTACTACTAGGGACTAAAACTACTAATTTCAAACTCCACAGAGTAAAAAATTGCTATTCTCTCTACTCTCTCTTTCTCCATTAAATTCATCTTGTGTCATAATCTCCAGCATTCAATATGGTCCATTAGTCGGGGCAATTCAGAGACGCTTTTTTTACAGCCGCGCACACACGTGATACGTTGCAGTGATATCAACTCATCAAATGCAAGCGCTGTCGATGACTTTCAACTTTGCGGTGAGGTCGATGAGTAGAGTCTGCGCTTGACTCATCGCCTCTATATAAACTAAAAGGAAAGAATGTTATTTAAACGAGGGCATCGTCCTATAAAACCATCATTACTCCGATATGCACTTGTTTCTCTTTTTTCACTTCCATTTTGCAAATGTGATCACCGCCTGCACTTATGACTCTAATGTTTAAAGACTCTCCTTTCGCATTTTTTACTCCCCAAAAATATAAAACAGAACTTGTATATTTATAAGCCACTCTTGTAATAAAAATGCTAACAAAAATGATGATAATAAGAAATAACCGAGTCAATAAAACACAATTTTTAAGTATTTTTTAAAGTGCTTAAATAAATACCTACTAAATAAATTCTAAATGTAAATACTAAACGAATATTAAATAAATACTAAATAAATTCTAAATGAATATTAAATAAATACTAAATAAATTCTAAACATAAATACTAAATGAATATTGAATAAATACTAAATAAATTCTAAATAACGTTTTAACTGTTAATAAAATTTTTCCAAAAATCACAAAAAATTTTAAATGACAAGCAAACAAGGAAAAAAGGTAGAAACAATTTCTGGACGTTTCTTTCGTTCAACTGACGAAGGTCATCGTTGTGAACGGTATAAATTCGCGTTACAGTTGCGCGATTAATTAGTTTTAAGAAACTCATCTCGCAGCTGAAATGTTACAGGAGTATAACAGAGCGACAGTATGACGCTCGTAAACGCGCTATTATCGCCAGCTGATGCTTATAGATCGTGTCTTTTCGACCCGTTATGTACGACACTTTAATCCCCCCTCTCACCCCTCCTCTCTTAGTTCTTCTTCCCTTCAGAAGTGATTTCCTGCCCTCGAGCATGATTTCGCGACAATTTATTACTCATTAATGCAAAACGTCCCTTTTCCTATTCGTTCCATATATCCTTTCCTTCAGGATATGATAGGATCATCGAAAAAATCTCCCCTTTGATTAAAATCATATTTTCTTCTCACTGACGTGCCAGTAATTACATTATTATTTATTAAATTAAGTTATTTTGCAATAAATAACGTTTTTTGAAAGTATTTTATTTTTTTTTATTCTCCATGGAGAGTGAATAATTTTTTGGAGTAAGTTAAAAAAAGAATAAGAGTATAAAGAAGAAGATAAAAATAAGAGATGAATATAAGATAAAAATAAGATTCAGATAGAGATAAAAAATAAAAAAAATAATAAGAATATAAAATAAAAGAAAGTAAAATGAAAAGAAGTACAACAAAAATCGAGAAAAAATTATAAGAAAGTTAAAATATAAGAATAAAAAGTTATACGAAAATCGAACAATAAAAATAGTATTAATAATAATAATAAAAATGATAATACAATAAATAAAAATTAATAGAGAAGGAAAATTGATAATGAAGTATAAATAAAAATATGGTTTGTTGGTATGTAAGGAACCTGTGAGGAGTAGGGATCGTAAGTACCGGAGAGGGGGTAATGGGAGAGAAAGAGAAGTCTACCTTTTTCTCTCTCTTACTTATTGCTCCCACTTCTGCGCTTATGTTCTGCGCAAGCGCATCCTCAATATGAAAAATCATTATACGAAAATAAAAATATAATGCAGAAATAAAAATATAATATAAAAATAAAAATATAATATAAAAATATAATACAAAAATAAAAATATAGTAAAACAATAAAACAAAAGTGTAGTAAAACAATAAAATAAAAATATAGTACAATAATGAAATAAAAATATAATGCAACAAAATTTAAAAAAAATTAAAATGATAGAAAATAAACGTTAAATAAAAATAATAATAAGCAAAAAAGAACAAAATAAAATAATAATGCCACATTAATGTAAAATATAGAATAAAAAATTACAACAATAACGTTAATAATGCAAACAAAATTAACTATAATAATTTGAATGTTCTTTCATTCATTTATTCATTCATTCATTCACTTTTTCTGTACCTCACAATCTAAAGTTGTCTTTTGTTTATACTTTTGTTTCTTGTTAACTTTGGATAGATTTTATATTATATTATTATGTTACAATTATTTTTATTTTATAATTATTTTATAATAAATTCATAATTGTAATGACAAATAGAAATCATCAAAAAATTTTCACTTCTTTTCATTAAAAGACTAAAATTTTGTTAAATATTATGTTTTGTCAAATTTAAGTTATGCAGTTTTTTGTTCTTTATTTTTAAAGAAAATTAGAAAATTTTTAAACAACTTTGATTAAGAAATAACAAATGTATATAGTTTGCATTATTTTTGTTTATAAATCACAATTTTTTTTAACAAAATTATTATTTTGTTTTAGAAAAAGAAGAAAAATATTTGCACAATTCCTATTTTTATTCTTATTTTTGAAACAGGATTTTCCACAGGAATTAAGACATTCAAAAATTTCAAATTCAAACTTTTTTTAAATTAAACAACTTATAAAAGTATTGTTATTGTTATTGGAGCAATCGTTTTCTTCATGTTTTATAATAATTAAAGATGACCAAGTAATAATATCATTATTTTATATTAAAATTTTTTTTAAATAATTGAATTCTTTTTGGAAAATTTTATTAAAATAGTAGATATTGAAAATAATTTAAATTAGAAAAATTTTTGAAAATAATTGAAATTAGAACAAGAATTTTTTTGATATTTATGAAAATAATTGAGCTTTGGAGAAGAATTTTGTTATTTATAAAGATAATTGAGATTTTTACGAGAATTTTTTCAAATTTTGAACATAGTTGAATTTTTTTTTTTTTTGAAAATAATTAAATTTCTGAAATTATTTGTAATATCTCCAAAATTGAATGTTTTAGTGTTTTCAACAAAAATTTAAATTAGAAAATTAAAAATTTTTAAAATAGAGTTGCATTTCGACAGGTTCGATTGTAACACTAAAATAAGTTCACCAAAACATTTCCGTTTAAAAACTAAAAGTTTTTAGTTACGCTAAAAATATAACCAAAACTAAAAGTTTCGATCTAAAATCTAATCAAAAAATTTCGGATGAATAAAAAAAAAAAGAATAATAAATTTCGGATCTAAAATACCCGAAATTAACTCTCATATTTTTATTTGATACACGTATATGAACACCTTTGCACGCCTATCGTTTATAATTATCGGATTTTCACAAGATTTGTAATGCCGGATGAAAAGTCTGACATGAGAGTGAAGCGAAAGGAGGTTTGCGTGACACGATAATAATAGATTAAGAAAGGGTGCCTCATTCTTGCTTCTCAAGTTCTGAGACCTTCGACCTTCTTTCGACTTGATGAATTGGACCTTCTCGACCTGCGATTGGTCGCGATACAAAAACTATATATATATATATATATATATACACATTATAATATAAATTCGCGTGCAATTCGTCTAACTGATTTTTCTTCATGACGCAAGTTTAGTCCCCTTTTGTCTGATGCTCGTCATTATATAAAAAAAACGATATTACAAGATTTCACGCGCATGAGATGTCGGAAATTTGTTTTTGTTTTTTGGACATTGAAAAATGTCGGATAAAAATATCAAGTACAAATTGAGTTATAACGAATGAGTTGCAATTACTTTTGTAACATTTTTTTAAAATCATTTTCTACTTTACAGCAATAAACAAAATTATTTACGAATTAAAAAATTTGTATTTAATTTAACAATTAAATTTTTACAACAAAAAATTTATGATTCTAATAATTAATTACTTTATTACCATCAAATAAATATTTTCGTTAAACAAATAATTTTAATTAAATAATCCGTATATTTCAAACAATAATTGTATGTATTTGGAATAAATGAATTGATTTAAATAAAATTTATTTAATACAAAAAAAATATTTATTAGAAAATAATTGATTAAATGTAATAATTATTATTAGTCTAATAATGAGAATAATAATTATTATTATTAGTTATTGGTCATTGTTTCTTTTGTTAATCGTTTATTTATTTATTTTTCTAATTGTTACTTTTGTATAGTCCAAAAATTGATTATTTAAAACAAATAAATATTTTTTTAATTCATAAAATCTAGAATATTAATTTTAAAAAACATATTTCGAAAATACAGAAAATAATAATTTTTATCACTCTTTTTCAAAAAATTCATATTTATAAAATTGAAAATGCGAGCAGAATATTTTTCAGCATTCTCCAACTGTACGTTTTGTCTGATTCAAATATTATATTAAGGTATTCAATGCTTTAAATTTTTCACATACCCAAACAAGAAATACTCAGAATTTTTTTTTCCTGTACATTTCCCTCGCGTATAAATTCAAGTCTCATCAAATATTCAATAATAATTCAATTCATTTACATTAAATTGTTAACATTCCCAACATATTGTTTTTTTTTCTTTTTTTTAAGTAATTAAAAAATAAACAAATATTTATCCATATTATTTACTAAATACATTTTATATCAGACAAACATTTTCAATTAATTTTATTAAAAAATCATAAAATATCAAAATATGTTTCGATACCTCAGTGTGATACAGTCCTATCTTCTGGTAATACTTTAAACTGTCCTATCTCGAGGTGATGTTTTGTACCGTGCTATGTCTAATTTGACAAATTGTAGTATGAATAAAAAAAATAAATTACGGTACTTAAAATATTGATTACATTCAAAACAATAATTTTTTTATATTTTAAGAGAGACTTTTTATCATTATATATAAAAATTTAGTGTGAATTAATAAAATTGAACCACTTAAATGCATTTAGAAAACAGCTAATACATTAACCCTACTTTTTGACAGCACGATACAAACTATCACCTGAAGATAGGACTGTACTAAATATTACCAGAAGATAGGACTGTATTACACTGAAGTATCGGTTTGTAGAATTTAATTTAACAACAATATTCTTTGAATTTAATTTTTAGGGAAAATTTTCAATATTATTTTGCAGAGAATTTATAATTTTACGAATCATTTATAACTTTATGCGTATAAAGCAGTTATTAAAGTATTTTATAATTTGGAAAATGTAATAAAAATCGAATGTACACAAAAATATGTGGAACATAAAATTTCAGTTGTAAATTTTTAATGTTGAGTGAAAATTTTAATTAATTTTTAATGAACTCATATATGTGTTGGTAAATAAACGAATCGTATCAAGGGTGATAAATATTGTTCAAATTTTAAGTATTATTTTAATTAAATGTGTAATAAAAAGCCATAATTTTAATACTCCATTGAAAAAAAAAATTTAACAAAAAATTACCTATTTCTAATTGTTACTATTATTATTTTTTTGCTTAATGATATCTGTATTTTGGATATCTGTATTATTATTTCAAATTTGATAAAATAAAAAATTCTGTTAATTTTAAATTAAAAAATATGTTTACTCACCTCTTGTCCCTTAACGTCCCGATAGCGAACCCATTTGCCAAGACGTGGTCGCCAATATTCCAACAAATACGCCTCTGCAAATTCAAGACCGAGGCCATTTCCAAAACGACCTTGAGTACCAGTAGCGGTAATCATATGAACAGTGTGAAGATCAATTTCCAACCATTCTCGTGGCTCTGTTGTTATTTGATCTTTCGGACACCATGCGCCACCGTGATTCTCGGACTTTAATCTGAAATCAAAATAAAATGAAAAATTAATTATTTTCTAAAAGAGAAAAAATTTTAAATGTATCCGGAAGAAATAATTTTATTACTATATAAAAGAAAATTGTTTATTTATAAAATAAATATAGAATAAATTTTCCATAATTAGTTTTTAAAAAAAAAAATACAGAATCCCGGATGCAATAACCGCCTCCATTCGGCCTCTTCATTAAAGTTAATAGTTTTCAACTAAAAAACGCCCACAATCGATTATTGCATCCGCACTCTCAATTACCTGAGTGAAAAAATATTTACATAAAATATTCATAGTATTCACAATGTTCATTAAATTTTCCTAAAATTGTCCCGACTGGTAATTATGCAATAATCATAAAATAGAAAATTTCTCTTTTTTCTCTTTTGAATAAGAGAAAAATTTACTATAAAATAGAGAAATTGTGACAAGAATGAAAAAAAAAATAATTTTTAATAAAAATTGAATAAACATTTTTTTTTTATGAAACGAACCAGTTTTAATAATTCTATCGATCTTTAATGCCACATTCAGAAGTTGATGACAGTTAAGCAAACTTTAATGAACTTGGTTCATTAATATTCAAAAGACTTCCCTGTCTCTCTTTCCTTCTCCCTCTCTCTTGCTATATCTCGTCCCGTACATCTAATTTGCAAATGTTAATATTATAAGTGTTGAAAAATTAAAATGGAGAAAAAATTAGTGATTAAAAAAAATTTTTTTTTCTCCATTTGGCCATAATGAAAATGAATACAATAAATATTTTGAATAAACATGGTACTACAAAGGCAAAGTCATAAACGATTATCGTCTGAAATATATTGCCTGCGGAGAGGTCAATTGCTATTCAAAAGAGACTTACACAAGTGAAGATCTTTCTTGTGTACAATAATGTTGAGAAGAGTTTGTGAGAAGGATGTCAATCACTTTTATTTCTCAAGAACAAAAGTAATAAGGAAGCATATGAATCATCACTATTAAAGTCAAAACAAATTTTGTGTATTATACACGAGTTAATTTATAATTTTTTTCTCTCCTGTATTATTCGAGAATTATTTTGAATATTTTGCTTTTTAGGAAAATTCTTAACTTAGAAGAAGAAAACATTTCTAATGATTCGAATATAAAAATATTTAGAAACAACAAAATTATGACGGAAGAAAAAACAGATAGAGAAGAGTGGACATTATTGAACCGAACTCCAAAATTTATTAGATTTAAAAAAAAAAATGTTCTATTACATTTATTTACAAATTTCTTCAAAAGTAAAATTATTCCCAAACATTAACAACTTTTTCTTTAAATAAATATTTAATCATTGTCATTTTTCCATAGAAATTAAAATTCTTCAAAAGATTCAAATTCAAATCTTTTGAAATTCAATAACTTATAAGAATATTATTATAAAACATGAAGAAGTCGATCACTCCGAGTCTTCGACTCGAAGTAATCGATTTCTTTATGTCTTCATATTAATTAAAGATATACCCGGTGAATTAATAATAAAATAAAATTAATTCTAAGCAGAATTATTAGTTAAAAGTAGGAAAAATTCTGATTTTCAAAGATTTTAATTCGAAACCTTATCAAAATTCAATTATTTCTAAATATTCCCCCCTAATGGGCCTAATGCTTTTAATATTTAATTATTATCTAAAATTTTAACTAAAATTATTCATTTTTAAATCAATTTTTATTAGAAAATTCCAAAATAAATAATAATAATAATAATAATAATAATAATAATAATAATAATAATAATAATAATATATTTATTAATTAATTAATAAATTCTAATTCAATTATTTAAATATACAAAAATAAATAATTTATTCAATAATTGGATTTTTCTTAGAATTTAATTTTTACAAAGAATTTTATTACCAACTTTTGTAAATATTTAATTTCTTTTAAGAAATTTAATTACAATTTTACTGAAATTTATTATATTAAAGAATTTTATAACAATTTTTGAAAATAATTGAAAACTTTTTTAAGAATTTTATTAAAATTTTTTCAAATAATTGAATTCCTGAGAAGAATTTGAATAATAATTTATAAAAATAATTGAATTCATACGAAGAATTTTTATTAAATTTCCTTTAAATAATTGAAATTTTGAGAAGAATAAAATTAAAATTTCTGAAAATAATTGAATTTTGCGAAGAATTTTATTAACAATTTTTTTCAATAATTAAATTATTTGATAAATTTTATGAAAAATAGTAAATATTTAAAATTATTAATTTGCGAAAAACTTTTGAAAATAATTGAAATTTTGAAAAGAATTTTATTTCAATTTTTGAAAATAATTGAATTCTTGTGATGATTTTTATTTATAAAAATAATTGAATTTTTTTAAAGAATTTGTTATTGCAATTTGTCAAGACAATTGCATTTTTTAAAAAAATTAATTAAACAGAATAATTAGTTAAAAATATAAAAAATTGAATGTTTCTTAAAATTCCATTCTCATAAAAAATTTAATCAACAAATTTTTAAATAATTGAATTCTTTCGACGAATTTTAATAAAATTTTTAAGAATAATTTTACATATTTTTCGAGGAATTCGTTTAAAACTGTATTATAAAAATAATTGAAATTCTGCAATGAGTTGTATTATTTATGAAAATAATTAAATTGGAAAAAATAATTTTATTATATTTATACGAAAATAATTGAAACCCTGTAAAAATTTTATTTATGAAAATAATTGAATGATGGCGAAGAAATTCATTACTAAAAATAATTGAATTTTGCGAACAATGTTATTAAACTTTTTGAAAATAATTGAATTTATGAGAAGAATTCTAATACTTTTAAAAATAATTGAACTGTTTTGATGAATTTTGTTTATTCCAAAAAATAATTGAATTTTGCGAATAATTTTATTAAAATTCCTAAAAATATTTAAATTTCAGAGAATAATTTTAATGCTTTTAAATATAATTGAATTCTTGTGTAGAATTTTGGTTATTTGTGAGAATAATTGAATTTTGCAAAGAATTTTATTAAGATTCCTAAAAATAATTGAATTTTTTCGAAGAATTTTATTAAAATTCCTAAAAATAATTAAATTTTGGAGAATAATTCTAATACTTTTAAAAATAATTGAATTCTTGTGATGAATATTGTTATTTATGAAAGTAATCGAATTTTGTAAAGAATTTTTTTTAAATTCCTAAAAATAATTGATTTTTTGTAAAGAATTTTATTATTTATCAAGATAATTGCATTAAAACTTTTGAAATAATTAAATAATTAAAAAAAAATTCATTCTAGTAAGAATTAGAAAAAAATGTTGAAGGTTTTGTATTAGAATTCATGGTAGTTTATGAGGCAAACAAAAAAGAAAAAAGACACAAAAAATTTAAAGTTTTCATTCTGATTTCTACAAATTTAATTTTTTCCAGTACCTTTTATAAAAATCCCTGATTTTTCCCTGATTTCCCTGACCAATTCTACTTTCCCTGACTTTATCCTGAATTCCCTGATTTCCCTGACCTGTGGAAACCCATTTTTTGACTACGTAGAGAATAATATCTGTCAAACACAAAAACTTATGGCCATTTGAAGAAAAATATAAGTTTACAAGTGAACATTTAAAATCATTAAAAAAAAAAATTTAGTCAATCAATATTAGTCACTAACGAGTTTAAAAAATATTCTCACCATAAAGTAAATCTCCAATAAAGAGTAATTGCCCCAAATTTTAAACTTATTATGCGCAGATGTTGGAAAAAAAGGATTATTGGTTTAAGTGAATTGAGTTGGAAAATAAACAATATCGAATTTCCATCAAGGCTACTGTGAATATTAAATGCCCAAGTGGCGCAGTCTCGCTCGTCAAATATTTATACACACAGAATTACATTTAATAGGTAGGTTAAATGGCTCCCCTCATTTGATGGCAAATTGATTTTTTCGTATCGGGGATATTTTTTTTTTTATTTTTTTTTTGAAAGTGGTGTGTGCTTATCGAGATGAGATGATGACTGATACACCTCTTGGGTGTTTTATCTCTTCTACAAGCAAAGAAGAAGAAGAAGAAGAAGGAATGCTTTGGTTTTAATCTTTTGGCAAAAGGGCGGTAGCAGAGGGAAAGGGGTTGGCATGAATAAAAGATGAACCGAGAACGGTGTGCGAAGCGCCTTCTCTAATTGCGTGGACCGTTTATACGACTCTTGGCAAAGCCGTCTGCTACTGTTACTTCTATACTACCACTACAACTACTACTACTACTGTAACATGAGAGAGGGCCGGATTCTGAGACTATACACTGGTGCTAATAATCATGTTTTACATTCATCACACGCGAAGACGACAACGATAAACCTCGGTCATACTGTCAGATTTCTCTCATATGCATACAGTTTATGTACACAAAGTTTAGATTCGTTACGTCATTAATTAAACATACTGGAGGATATGGTTTAATAAATACTAAAATCAAAATTTCTCTCTCCATGAAGGCTGACATATTTTGTCAAATTTTCATTTTAAACTCCATTTCGAATAATACAGTTTTGCGAAAATTTAAATTTTTGTTTTTGATATCGGACTAGTTTCCATAATGTATTGTTGTCCACGATGCTTCATATTTCAACAAATGCAAAAATATTTTTCTCCCACGCCTGCTCTGGAAGAAGTACTTTTCATGTTAAAGAAGCGTGGCGGAACTTTTCCCAACTCTTCTGGACAGAGTGGCGAAAGTAGTACTTTTCTCAACTCCTCTAAAAAGAATGGCGAAAATAAATCACTAGTTGCTCAATCTACTATCAGGGCTGCCACGCATATTTGCTCTTTTTCAATTCCCTGACTTTTCCAGGTTTTTCAGGTTAAAAATCCGGAATTTTTCCAGGTTTTTAAAACGAAAATTATTTCGAAAATATCAATAACTTCATTTTTAAATAAATATTTAATCACTATTATTTTTTCATAAAAATTAAGATTCTCAAAAATGTTAAATTCAATAACATAATTATAAGAAT